TGACCTAGAACTCACTGTATAGACCAGGCTGGCCTCAAACTTATGAAGATCTGCCTGCCTCTGCCTCCCAAGTGCTGGGATAAAGGCGTGTGCTTTCACTCCTGGCAGGCATACTCTCTAGCGGTTATTTTGGTGGAGTATGTGAATATTTATGCCCATAATTTGAACCACTGGATTAAGTGTCTGTTATAAAACTCAGCTTTGGCATAGATGCTGCCTAATAGTTACCAAAAAGAAATAAAAATTTTATATTTTCACCAGTGTGTAGAACAGTTCTAGTTGCCATTGCAACTAAACTACTATCTGTCTGTCTGTTTGTCTGTCTATCTGTCTGTCTGTCTATCTATATATCTATCTATGTATCTATCTATCTATAATATCATGTAGCTAGCTATCATCTGTCTACATCTATCTATCTCTCTATCAATCATCTATCATCTATCTAACTATCAATCAATCAATCTATCATCTATCAATATATATCTTGAATCTATCTATCTGTCTGTCTGTCTATCATCTATCTATCTATACATCTATCTCTATATTTTATATGCATGCTGGGGCTCTGAACTCAGTGAACTGCCAGACCTGTTGTCTTCTTCTTAATAGACCCAAAGTTCTCTTGAATGCTGACATTTTAAAATATTAAGCTAACTTCTGAAAACCATTGAAGCAAATCAAGGGAAATAAATTGCTACTGAGTATATACTTTAATATTTGATGTCAGTTTTTAAATGTCTTCTAGTGACTTAAGTCTAAGCTTCTTTCTGTCTCAGCTCCCTTTGCTCTCTTAATGTTAGGAGGTCTTAAACATACCCCATTGATTCCAGAAAACTGCTGGGCCATGTGTAGCATTAGAGACACAATGATGGGCTGTCGGTAGCTGGAGTCCGTGAAGAGCTGGATCACAGAGACTTTCTGCTCAGTAGCTGCCTCTTCCTTTTCTTTTCTCATCTCATTAATATCTTTGGTGACATCCTCAGTTCCTCTCAGTCTCTTCAAGCCTGATCCCCAAAACAGGTTGAAACAGCCCAGATTAAACAAAAATAAACACTTTGTTTCTGGTTTCAAAGGCGCTGCATATCTGCATGCCCCTTTCTTTGACCTGGCAGCACAGGTACTGGCAATTCTTCTTACTATTTTTGGTTTAAATTAAATTCTGTTCTTTGGTTAAAGAAAGAAAAACAGAACATCTGACTTCATCTGTAGGAGAAAGAGAAAGAGAGAGAGAAAGAGAGGAGGGAGGAGAAGAGAGGGACAGAGAGAGAGAGAGAGAGAGAGAGAGAGAGAGAGAGAGAGAAAGAGAGAACATTATGCTCCTCATCACTAAAGCACAGTTCTGAGAAGGGTGGACTGGGAGCCTCTGGTAAGCCCAGTGAGCTACATGTGAGCTCCTGATGTGAGCTAATGCACAACATGCCAGGCACAAGTAAGTAAAGCACAACACAGCAGCCATGTCTAAGTTCAGTGTGTTCTTGTGCGCAGTCATCAGCTTCATCTACAAGGTCCTCGTGTTGATTTTATGAGCAGTCATTCACGCATACTACCTTGTCTTAGCTGACAATTTCTCAATGATAGAAGCAGGCAGCTCCCTACACACTTACTTTTCTTCGCTCTGACTTCCTCTTCCAGCTTTATATAAAGGTAGCGGGGACTTTCTGGGCAGAAGAAGAGCAGGAGACACTGAAGGAGAGCTGGCACAGCAGACAGGCCAAGCAGGATGTGCCAACGATCCTGATTGCCCAGAATAAAGCTGAGGCCAGCTATCTGAAAAGACAAGGAAGGAGCATGTCAGACGCACAGGACTTTGGGCCTGGCTTCTTTGGCAACTCATGAGAAAATGCATTGACTCTTTAACAGTGATCCTCGACTGTTGGTTTATGTTGACACAGAGGGGGGGCTGTAATTAGCGAGTCCCATCTTAACCCAATCAGGAACAATTTGCTAGGAAGGAACCCAGCTGAGCTTGCCTTTCTCCTCTCCAACTGAATGTTTATGCTGGAGATCAACTCGACTCTTAAAGACACATTTGATAACAAAAGCAAAACACATAGTGTGCTTGGAAGCAATCAGATGGGATTATATTGTCAGAATTGCTGCTAGGTGTGGTGATGTGTGTCTGTAACAAAGGCCCTGGAAGAATACTGCCATAAAACAAGCAAACCCCCGGAGCTCGCCAGCCAGCCAGTCTACCCAAACAGCGAGCTTCCTATCAGAGAGTCAGAACCAAGGTGGAGAATGACAGAGGAGGGTACCTGACATCAACCTCTGACCTCTACACACACTCATATTGTAAATGCACATGGACATGTATGTCACACACACACACGCACACACACACACACACATGCAAACATGCACACACAGAAGGAGGCAGAGAGACAGAGAGATGCATGACTGCAGCTTTGCTTCAAAATCCCTTCTTAGGTCATGCAGAGCTTGAACATTTCATAGATAGAACAATTACATAATGACAACCACTTTATGACAACAATTACATGTGACAATCAGGCTTATGATACCTGTTGCCATGGTTTACAGACTTCCTTAACTTAGGGATTCCAAAGATCCTTCTGAGGTCAGAGGGTAAGAGGGAAAGAGAGAGAGCCAACTGAAGAAGAGCCTTTGTAATAATTGAATTTAAATTTCCAGATAACTGACTCAAAACCAAGAAACTCAGACAGTCAAAAATATGGAGTTAGCTTTTCCATGAAATTCAAATGTTAATTCTAGGACAGCATTGGGGCTTTCACTTGTATTGCAATCCCACCAATGGCTCCAAGTAGGATGGAAGGAATGGGACTAGTTCACCTTGGCGCTGAAAAGCCTGCTTTTCACACCACCTCCTTTCCCACCCTTGCACCTCCCCTTCCCTGGTGGGTAGTCTGCAATGAGCAGGGAGAGGAAGGTGGTTACAGTAAGGGACGAGGAGATCTTACCTGACTAATAAGAATGCCTGTGACAATGGCCAGTTGGTGCAGAGTGCCCAGGGCGCCTCGGAGAGTGGTTGGAGCGATTTCACCAATGTACATAGGGACCAGTCCTGAAATTAGCCCTGTGTGAGACACAAACATGGACATGTTAAAATGAAACCTGGAAAACCTCAGTAACAAGTATGTAACTCAGTTAGTTAGTATCCTTACTGGAAGCCACTTTCCAGGTATTTTGGAGGAGCCATTGTCCTCAACCATGGGCTCAGGTCATACAGCAAATTTTTCTTCCTACTCCACCTCCTTTTTTGTTTGCTTTGGTTTTTCAAAAAAGGGTTTATTTGTGTGACAGCTCTGACTGTTCTGGAACTCACTTCATAGATCAGGCAGGCCTTGAACTCACAGAGATCCACTTGCCTCTGCTTACCAAGTTTTGGGATTAAAAGCATATGCCACCACTGCCCAGCTACAAAAAACTTTGGTTGGTATTAATTTATGCAGAAATAATGTCATCCTTGGTTGACATTATATTAAATGAAGGTGTAGTTGGAAATATTAATGGAAAAATGCTTAATTATGTATTTGTCAGTTTCTTTGGTCTTAATGTCTGGCTCATTTCATAGTGGTTAAGGTTGTCTTGAGAAAATAGCTTAGAAATGTTTTTGTATTCATCCAGACTTAAAGGATTAGAGAAAGTCAGGGCTGGAAAGATGGTTCAGTGGTTAAAAGCAGTGGTTGCTCTTTTAAGCAACCTGGATTTGACTTCCAACATCACGTGGCAACTCACAACTGTCTGTAACTCCAGTTCCAGAGGATCTGAAGCCTCACACAGACATACATGCAGGTAAAACACCAAAGCACATAAAATAAATAAATCTTTAAAAAAGGAAGTCAGAATGTCAAAGAAAAGCCCACCTCCTAAGAGAGGTGAGAAGTGACTCGCCCAGAATCAGGGGAGTAGAGCGCCATGTGTAGGTTCCATGCCTAGCTGAGTCCACATCACATGGGGGTACCTCATTAACTGCATTGGGTGGTAGTGAGGCACAGAAGAGGGAAGGGGATATGCAACTCAAGGGATCTTGCCCAGCTGTCCCAATAAGGAAAACCTAGCTTCATCTTTGCTTCAAAAATCTTAGGTTCATAGTTGAACACATATTCTTGTGGCGCGATTGAGCATCCTTTGGATATACACTCAAAAGTAGTATTGCTGGGTCTTGAGGAAGGTTGTTTCCTAATTTTCTGAGAAATCACCACACTGACATTCAAAGGGGCTGTACCAGCTTGCATGGATAAGAAAAATGTGGTACATTTACACAATGGAGTAATACAGAGCAGAACAAAATAATGACATCTTGAATTTTGCAGGCAAATGAATGGAGCTAGAAACCATCATTTTGAGTGAAGTAACCCAGACCCAGAAAGACAATTATCATATGTACTCACTCATAAGTAGTTTTTAAACATAAAGCAAAGAAAACCAGCCCACAAATCACAATCTCAGAGAACCTAGACAGCAATGAGGAACAATGAGGTTCTCTGGGATTGTGAATTGTAGGCTGGTTTTCATTGCTTTATGTCTAAAAACCACTTATGAGTGAGCACATATGATAATTGTCTTTCTGGGTCTGGGTTACCTACTCAATAAGATGTTTTCTAGAGTCATTCATTTGTCTGCAAATTTTAAGATGTTGTTATTTTTTTCTGCTGTGTAGTATTACATTGTGAAAATATACCACCTTTTCCTTATCCATTCTCCAGTCGAGGGACATTTAGGTTGTTTCCAGGTTCTGGCTATGACAAACAATGCTGCTATTAACGTAGTTGAGTCATGTGGCATTCCCCTCTGTATGCTGTAAATACCATTGGTTAATAAAGAAACTGTCTTAGGCTGCACAGTGCAGAATAAAGGTAGACAGAGAAAACTAAACTGAATGCTGGGAGAAAGAAGGCAAAGTCAGGAGAAGCCATGTAGCCCTGCCAGAGAGGGAGACACCATGAAGCCACCACAGGAGAAAGACACAAGCCAGCAGCTGAAACCTTTCCAGTAGGCCACAATCCTTGTGGTAAAATATAAAATAATAGAAATGGGTTAATTTAATATGTAAGAGCTTGCTAGGAATATGCCAGAGTCATTGACCAAGCAGTGTTTTAAACAATATAGTTTCTGTGTGATTATTTCGGTTCTAGCGACCTGGGAACAAACAAGCAGCCTCCTACTACAGTTGAGCACATGTCCTTGTGGTACGATTGAGCATCCTTTGGGTATATACCCAAAAGTGGTATTGCTGGGTCTTTAGGAAGGTTTTTTCCTAATTTTCTGAGAAATTGAAAATGACCACCTTACCAAAAAGCAGACTACAAATTTCATTTGAAAAAAAGACTTAAACACAAATGTTTTGAAAAGTACTGAGCCATTATGTTTTCTATATCTTTATTTTTTATTACATTTATTTATTTAGTCATTTGGGATGTGTGTGTGTGTGTGTGTGTGTGTGTATGCACGTGCACACACACACACACATACACACACACACACACACACACACACACACACACACGTGTCCATCTGTCCCTGTAAAAGCCAGAGAGGAAGCTGTGGGAGTCTGTTCTCACTTTCCATGTGGTGCTCCTCAATTGAACTCAGGTTGTTAAACTCCATGGCAGGTGCTTTTACTTGCTGTGCCATCTCTCTGGCTTTTTTTTTCTATATTTTTATTTTTTAAGGTATATTTAATTTTATTTTATGTGTATGAGTATTTAACCTGCATTTATGTCATGTGTGCCTATTGCCCATGGAGGTCGTAGGACAACATCAGATCCCCTGGAGCTGGAGTTTGCAGAAGGTTTGTGAGCTGCTCTGTGGGTGCTAGGAGTTGAATCCGGGTCCTCTGAAAGAGCAGTCAGTGTTTTAACCACTGAGCATCAGTCACTCTAGACCTTCTGTAGCTTTCTTAAACACGCAGGTAATCAGGTATGGTGTAAACAGTGGCATATCCAGACATTCACCAATTGCAGAGTTTGGTGTTTTCTTAACAATTTAAAAATAAGATTTACAGCCGGGCGGTGGTGGCGCACGCCTTTAATCCCAGCACTCGGGAGGCAGAGGCGGGCGGATCTTTGTGAGTTCGAGGCCAGCCTGGTGTACAGCTAGTTCCAGGACAGGCACCAAAGCTACAGAGAAACCCTGTCTCAAAAAACCAAAAAAAAAAAAAAAAAAAAAAGATTTACTATGGGCTTCTAAATGGAAATAGATGGTCTTTTGACAAAAGCTACTTTTGTCAAGTATTTTAATATATAATTTAATATTCCACATTATATAGATGTTGTAAACACATATTACATTGGTAGTGTGGGGTTTGCACCTCTGCAGAACTCAATGGGACTCTTACCTGTAGCCTGTGTAACTAGACTAAGAGAAAGTCACCAAGTTGTCCCTTGCTCTATATTTCAGGAAAGAATGACAGAAATAAGCTCCCAGGTCTGAGGTCACAGGAACTTGAATTTAAATTCTATTTCTGGCAAATTTTAATACTCAGAATGCAATGAAACATGACTTTAATGACCGTGGACAGTACAAGTCACTCAGGAGGGCCAGCTCTATGTTGTCACATGACATGTTTATAGCATTTATTTTCAATTTTGTAAAAAGAGTAATGTTTTCCACACTGTGTTAAAAAGTGTGTGTGTGTGTGAGAGAGAGAGAGAGAGAGACAGAGACAGAGACAGAGACAGAGGGGGGAACAAAAGAGATTATTAGGACCTATTTCACAGTGTTGTTATTCATCTTTTATAAAAGAAGCTGAGGTTGAGCCTTAACTAATCTGTATAGAGATGGTGCCACAACTGATTCCCTCTGACTCCATGGTGTGTTCCATATCTACCTGACTCTCATTTTTAGTTGTTTGTATTAACAGTGAAAATAATGAGAAGAAGCCAGGCTGTGGTGGTGCATGCCTTTAATCTCAGCACTTGGGAGGCAGAGGCAGGTGTGATCTCTGTTAGTTCAAGGCCAGCCTGGTTTACAAAAGCTAGTTTCAGGACAGGCTCCAAAGCTACAGAGAAGCCCTGTCTCGAAAAAAAAAAAATGAGAAGAAATATTTAAATTATATTTTTTGCTTCAGCTGATCATTGAAGACACATGGAATTATAATCTTTCCTTTAGGTAAAAATTAGAAATAATCATAGAGAAATGTTTTACCCTCACCAATTTTTCCTATCCCTCATGGATGTCTGTGCCTTTGAGGTCAATTTCAATTTACAAACACTGGTTAAAATGCCAGCTCAGAGCCATCAGAATGAAAGGTTAATTGCACTGAGCAGTATGGTATCTATCCATTTGTTTGCAATTGAATTTTCCTATCGGTTTTTAGGACCCTGCCTCTGAGGGTTTGAAACCCTGTCTCCAAAACCTAGTGCCGCTGCTCAGACATGAAGTTGAGGGGAGGAGGGGTCCACGAGATGCTTTGTCCAATAACCTCTCCCTGCGGACACCACTGTCTCAGTGCTCTGAGCAGCTGTGTCTGGAATCAAGAGGGTAAGGGAATATGGTCTAAGAGATCAGTCTAGGGGGTTGTGCCCTCCCATGAAAGACACCATAGCACATGCAGGAACACAGGGTTAGGGTCTGAGGAGAGCATCTCCAGCTGTTGGATTAGCACAGGAGTAGCAGCAGTTGATGATTTTCTTCACTTACTGTCTTCCTGGTGCTGTGTTGGAACTTCACACATATTCACCAGTTCCAACCTTCCCAGGGCTGTGACCCTTAATGCCGTTCCTCAGATTGTGGCGACCCCCAAACCATAAAACTATTATCATTGCTACTTCATAGTTGTAACTTTCCTACTGTTAAAATCACAATGTAAATATCTCTGTTTTCCGATGGTCTTCGGTGACCCCAAAGGGTTGAGAGCGGTTGCATTAGAGGCAGCTGTTACTGTCACCATCACTTCATAGATTAGGAAAGAGAGAACCAGCTATATAATTTGTCTGGGCTCAAACGAGTAGCGGTGACGTCACTGGAGTGGCCAGAGATGCCCATAGCAGCACAGCTCACTCTTACTTCCCCCATTGCCTTCCTTCCGGGACGCCATGCTGGTCTACAAATCTTAGAGTGCATCTCACTCACCGCAGTACAGTCCTGATATGCTTCTGCCGGCGATGACGAGGATGTGTGACGGTCCGAGTTTGGAGCACCCCATCAAGAGAGCTCCGGTCAGTGAGAGACTGTTGGCTGCCAGCATGGCTTTGATCCTGAAAATTTAAAAACAGTTTCCAATTCAGCACCAAAATGTGAAGAAATGACTCATTTTCAGACCATAGGGAGACTTTTGTCATTATTCTTAGTTTTACTGGAAAGCTAGGTCAAGATTCTTGAAGCATGCCTGCTACTTCCTCATTGACAAGCATTGAGTACTATTTGTTCACTTTAATCTACCTGTCTCTTACTTTCATCGAGACAATTCCCTTGTTCTGATTTGGCTTTGTGTTTTGGAGATGTGGGTCTCACTCTCCAACCCTGGGTAACTGGACCTCACTCTGTAGCCTCGGCTATTCTTGCCTGGGCTGCAGAGTGCTAAGCAATCTTAGCCACCATGCCTGACTCAGTCGTTTGATTGAAGACAACACTTTTGATACTCAGTTATTTGATTTTTCTGCAGCTTGTTTGATTTAAAGGGCAGCATTTTAGTGACGGGAAACTGATTTTGTGGTTGCCACCCATGGTTTGTCTCTAGTCTTTGTTGATAGCAAAGATTTGTAGTTGCTGCTTTGAAGTCAATTTTCTTTTTGTGGGTATTTTTTGGAAGTAGATTAAAACATTTTTCCAAAGTTTGTCATAATTATAATTATTCTTTTTTTCACACAAAGTAAAATCGATGAATTAATATTAACCAAATTTAAAGATTTACATTATTTTTGAGACAGGATCTCATTCCAGAGTCTAGGCTGGTGCAGAATTTACTCTGTGGCCTAGCCTGTCTTTAAACTGTGACATTTCCTGTGTCTCAGCCTCCAGAGCAGTAGAAGTGTAGGCGTGACCCACCGTATCCATTTACTCTAAAGCATATTTTTAAAAACTGACAATAGCGATAAAAACATTATTAATAAAAGTGACCACGTGGAAATCACAACTTCCTTGAAAGTTAAGGAAAAAATAATAAAGCGAATACAAGAACCTGAGCAGACAGGCTTGGCAGTGTTTGTGCCACGGTGATGCGTGCACCCCTTGCTGTGTCTGTGCTATCGCTTTGCTGATCAGCGTTTCGGACTCTGGTGACAAGAGGGCTTTTTCTTAGCAAATATCTTCAAGACGAAACACACTTTTTCCTTCAAGAATAAAACTAGGTGTCTACACTACAACAATTGCCTGACAGCCATGTGTAAGCTGAATGGTGTCCCCCAAGGGTCCAAGTCCTAATCTCAAGCTCTGTAACCATCACCTTATCCAGCAAAAGGTGTTTTGTGGATGTAATGACAATAGCAATCCTGGGCAGGAGGAATGTCTTGGAATATTCAGATAAACTCAGTGAAATCACAGGTGTCCTTATAAGAGCAGGGCAGAAGAGAAGGAGAAGTTTCCAGAAGTGGGCAATGGAGTGAGACCCTTCTAAAATGGTGTATTGCGTAGTTTAATGTTGACACAAGCTAAAGTCATCGGAGAGGAGGGAACCTCAATTAACAAAACGCCTCCCTAAGATCAGGCTGTGGGGAAGCCTGTAAAGACATTTTTAACGCTAGCCCATTGTGAGTGGTGCCATTCCTGGGCTGGTGCTTCCAGATTCTACAAGAAAGCAGGCTGAGCAAGCCATGAGGAACAAGCCAGTAAGCAGCACCCCTCCATGACCTCTGCTTCAGTTCCAGGTTCCTACCCTGTTTGAGTTTCTTTCCTGACTTCCTGTGATGAGGGGTGGTACTGTGGAAGTGTGAGCTGAACAAACCCTTGCTTCCCCAACTTTCTTTGGTCATGGTGTTTCTTCACAGCAATAGTAACCCTAACAAAGACAGATGTTGGCGCCAGTCTGCTGTTACAGACCTGGCCATGTTTGGGGGAGGATTGTGGAAGGACTTTGGAACTTCAGGCTGGAAAAGTCATTGAGGTTGAGAATTCAGTGAGCTGTTCTTAGGAGCTTGAAAGATAAAAATCATGCGGACAGTCCAGAAGATGGAGGCTGGCTTGTACAGTTTCAGAGGGACGTTAAAGACTCTGTTGGGGCCGTTTGTTATTTTGAATTAAGGTTATGTGATTCTGGTTAGCTGGGGCTGAAGAATCAGTTGTGACTAACAAGATACTAGAACTGTTGGGATACTCAATGCTGGCCAGCTGAAGCTGAGAAATTGGTGGTGATTAAAAAGAGACCAGCATTGTTGAAGTGAAGTCTTCTGGGAAGTGTTCCCTGAGAGCACACAGAAACTGTCTTCCAGAGGTGACTGTGGTGGTTTGAAGGAAAATGGCCCCCAAAGGAAGTGGCATTATTAGGAGGTGCGGTCTTGTTGGAGGAAGTGTGTCTCTGTGGAGGCAGGTTTTGAGATTTCATATAATGTTCAAGCCAAGCCCAGTGTCTCAGACCACTTCCTGTTGTCTGCAAGCCAAAATAGACCACTTCCTGTTGTTTGCAAACCAAGATATAGGACACTCAGCTACCTCTCCAGTACCATGTCTGCCTGCATGCTGTCATGTCCCACAATGATGATAATGGACTGAACCGCTGGACTGTAAGTGAGCCACCACAATGAAATGTTTTCCTTTATAAGAGTTGCCGTGGTCATGGTGTCTCTTCACAGCAAAATGAATCCTAACTAAGGCAGTGGCCAATGTTGTAACTCATGCTGACAGTTGAACTTGGTAGTGTAAGAGTCACCCAGGCAGAAAAGTGGAGGCTTGGCAGTACAAAGAGAACCTATGAGAGGCTGTTGGCGAGAGTGTAGTCCAGTTGCAGTAGAAGTCTCCAGCATTTTGTAGATCCCAGTACCAAGGGATGACTACCAAGAACAGTAGCAGCAGTGGAGCTGAGCCTGCCTGAGCTTAGAAGTATGCTGTGTGTACTGCAGAGGGTGGAGATAGAGAAGTCAACCAGCCATTGTTTGGCGGAGCCCAGAAGATGGTGAGTGAGTCCCAGATACTGGACATGGAGTTATGTACGTAGCTGGGGTTTACCTTTGTTATGTTTAGACTGTGACTCTGCCCTGGTTCTTCCCCCTTGAAGTAAGGAAGTATTTATCTTAATTTCAATTTTTCTTTTTACAGGAGCTGATTTCAAACTTTAAAAAAAGATTTTGAATTTTTAAAGGGACTGACATTTTAAGTGTGAATTTTTAATGTGTTTGAATTTGTAAGCGTTATGGGACTTTTAAAGATCGGCCATGAGCAATAGGGCACCAGTAATAACTGGAGAGGACAAGGCAGGCGTTCGCTTCTCAGAGCTTCCAGAAGGAATCAATCCTGCTAATTCCTTGGCGTTAGTCAGATATAATGAACGCTGGAGTTCTGACCTCCAAAACTAAAAGGAAATGAATTTGTGTTGTTTGGGTCACTAGGCTCGGGATAATTCATCACAGTGGGGAGAGGGTGTAAGGCGGTCATGGACTGACTGCCTTAGAGTAGGCAGTGTTGTAGCGCTGGTTAGCCCTGGAGCTGTGTGCAGAGACCCCTTTAAAGGGCGCCTCTGCTCAGACTGTGAGGGAATGCTTTTTCTATTTGGGAGGAACGAGGATGAACAAAGCTAATAGTTTACCCTAAGCAGTTGTTACGAGCCAAGAGAGTGTATCCTAACAGGCAAGGAGAAGACAAGAATAGGAGATGGGGTAGTCAGCAGTCCGTCCCGGTGGAGCAAGTGTCCATCCCTCCCTTCACGAGGCCTCACCCCTCCCTAAGAACCTGTAAATGACTATAGATGACAAACTCCTGCAGGAAGGAGGAGACCACTTTTTCCCCAGCGGTCTGACAGCTGTGCAGTTGCTCATGCTCCTGAAGACCACCCTCTTCCATGCTGGTATAAGTTATCAATTAAACTCATTGGTTCACAAAGAAAGAAAAAGAAAGAAACAAAGAAACAAGGAAAGGAAAAAGATGAAAGCATAAGGGGCACTGGTTGGTAAGAGGGAGGGGATTTGAGGGTGTAAAGGAATGGGACCAAGGGTATTGGGGTATAAACATGATAAAATACATAATATACATGTATGAAAATGTTATAATGAAACTCACTCATGTGTATAATTAATATATGTTTTAAAACATAAATAATTTAAAATTATTTAGTAGTACATTTCTTCAATTCCAGTAATTCCTGAGTAGGGAGTCGAAGGCAGGCAGACCTCGTGAGATCACATACAAAACGAGGAGGTTTCTTAACTAAGGAGATTACAGTAACCTGGACTTTATTGTATTCTTGAAAAGAAGTTTCCTTCATGAATAGTCATTTTCTACATTTTTACTGTTTCCTGTGTTTTATACAATTTTAGCAGAAGAAAGTATCAGAATTTTAATAATCAATGCATCCAAAGCTACAATTTATATTAGGAAATGGAAAGATGAAGTGAATCAAGTCCAGCATTATTAAACTCATTACCAAACCACCTTTTCCCCTTTCATTTTCCCCTAAGTTTTCCATGTTTCGCATGTGTTAATTCTATTGTGAAAATAAAAGGTAACTAACACCCAATAAGTGGATTCAATTAGCAGGAAATTCTTGTAAAAGTAACTTGCAGTTCTAACTTATCAGAAGCCCTAACTTTGGGACACCCATTATCAAGTGTATGAAGGAGCTGACTCCATTGATGTACTTTTTAATTTGTTTTAGGTTTTGAGTATGTGTATATGTGTCTCAGTGTGGGTGTGTGCAAGTGTGAGTGTAGGTGCTCTGGGAGGCCCTGAATGTGAACTGGGTCACCCGTAACGAGAGGTACAGGTGGAGGGTGCTGGGAACCAAATCCAGGTCCACAACAAATACAGTATTGCCTCTTAGCCGCTGAGCGAGTCCCCGCCTCATGACACTGATGTTTTTAGTCCTGACCAGGGAACGAGAACTGGAGTTGGGAAGCCTTGATTAGAGTCATTTCTGGTTGGGGCTCTGAGATCATAGCCGGAGCGGCAGCAGAAAGTGGACACCCTGTGCCCAGGGTGTGGTGACTTGCCAGGGCATGCAGGTGACCCATAGGACTTGACTAATACAAGTGTCACATTTTAATTTAATAATGAAAAGAATGTTTGATAGCTGGTAGAATTTGCTGGCACTTCCCTCCCAGGTTTTAAAACTTACAAAGCCAGAGGATCAAAGTCTCTAAAAGTACACACGGAATTCACTTTTTCTGCAAACATTTCCACAGGGGTCAGAATTTACCAGGTGATTGCAGCAACATTTTCTATTGATTTGACCTAACGGTGACCTCGCTCACAGATTCTAAGCTGAAAAGCCGGTCTAACACTACCCCACAAATGGGAAGATAGTATCGCTCTATCAGAGCAGTAACTAAATATTAAAGCTTTTTGTGTTTATATTTATTTATAAAACTCACCTTCCAAGCTTGTCACCTAGCCACCCACCAAAGAATGAGGCGACCATTCCACCCACTGCGAAGCTGGACACAGACAGAGACCAGAGTATTGTGATGATATGAGCAGAGCCTTCAGCCTTCTCTTCTGCCCAGGGGGCTGGTGTGGTGTATTCTGGCGTGACCACGAGTGGGGTGTCTGTGCTGTTGACATCGTGGATACTGGCAGCTCTTCGATCATCCACTGCAACACCCAAAACCCGGTGATAATGGGATATTATTACCTGAGGGAACAGAGAAAGACATCCATGACTTCCACATTGCACGTGCAGCTTTTGATTTCCCTGTAGATGTTTGTTAGGCGTTTGAACAGGGCAGCGTAATTGTGAGCGCTGTACAGGACAGATGTGGGTAGACTGCTTGACAGCTGGCCACAGGCAGCGGAAGCAAGGCGGGAAGAGACGCCTGAAGGAAGTGTGAAGAGCCTGGGATCAGCACCCCGAAGTGCGCTTTCTGCCAGTAGGTCGATGACGGCAGGTGCTTGGCTTTGTGGCATGGCAGCATCTGCCCAGCGGAGCGAGTAGGCTGCGAAGAAAAGGCTCATCGATGGGTAGTCTTTGTTTTTAAAATACCTGCCAGAGAGCCTGGCTTTTAGGAAAAGCTTTCCAGGTTTTAAAGGTTGACAACTACTTACACTGAAGATATTCTTCAGGTAGAGAAGATAGATTTTTATATGAGTGTTTGTCTTGCACAAAGGATTTAACAGTAGCATAAAAGGAGAAATCTATTGGCAAAGCTCAGAGTAAAACCTAAAGTTAGAACTACATACAATTTTAGCATCTGGCATTATATCGTTGATACAAGTGAGCTGTAAATTTAGCCACAGGCTCCCAGTTAATGCAAATGGATCCAAGTGGTCAAGTCTAGAGTCGATGAATTTTCAAGATAAAGACAGCTTAGCTAGAACTGGGAAGGTATAAAGCCTTCTTCCGTGGGTCCACAGAGAGGTCAGTGTATCCCAGAAGGAAGAGTCCTCAGCGCTAGCTTTCCAGCCACATTTTATATGATGCTTCTGTGCCATGAAGATAGCACATCCTGCAGCCCTTCCTCTGCCACACCGTTCTCAGCATCAACTGGCCACTATTCAGTCCCAGGATGTTGGGGAGTTCCTCTCCAACAAGGACCTGGCCCAGAGCTGCTAGCTCTTCCTGGTTATGAATACAGTCATATTTTTAAAACAAGCTGAGCCACAGGAGATTTGGCATCCTCTACGCAAGGTCTAGCCTTATAGAGAGATAGTATGCATAGAGGAAGGTGGAAAGGAATTACGCAAAATGTCCTTAGCAGTTTACTATATGGAATAGAACTAATTGCAGGTGATTTTATCTTCTGTTTTCTGAAGTGGGCAAGTGTAATTTTTTTGCTCATGAAAAGTTATGATTTAAAAATACCTTCAAATGTTCTTCAATCGGTAGAAAATGCCTACTAGCATTTTTTACCTTCCAGGGTCTGTGTTTTCAGTTCTGACTTGGGCTTAGCTTGAAGGAGGGGCCACCTCAGTCTAAATCTCTCTGATAACACTAGAGGATGAATTGAGTCGGGTTGTGAAGAGGACTTCCAGAAGGAAAAGATTTCTAGATTGGCCTGGGTCTTAGGAGGCTTAACAAATCAGCGCTTTGTCATCGTTCATAGAGAAACATCTGACTCTGGTCTCCTGTCCCCCATCCCAGCATTGTTCCCCGGAAGCCAGAACGAGAGGCTTGACACGCTACGGATGATGTGCACTTAATAAAAAGCCAACTTTCAGCCCTCAGAGTGGAGGAAGGGTCCTTGCCGGACTGTGGGCTGCACACATTCCAGTATTCGCACCCTGGGGCACCTTACTTTTTTCTTAGAACTGTAAGAAAAGCAGACAAAATGATGGAATCTGATAGGTGTATTTATAGCACCCCCCCCCACACACCAGACTTTTATTGTGCCTCTTCCCAAGGAATAGTCTCCCCAAGTCTGAGTTGGAGCACATGGGTCCTGGTCCCCTAACTAAGGGGCCACGGCAGCTGGAAAGAGTGAGATGTCTCTCTGAGGATGCCCTGCGTAACAGAGCCCAGATACGCAGAATACACTCAGAAATGGTGGGAATGGTCTGATATGTTTCCTTAAAAAGTGTCGTGTGCGTTCTCCATCACAACAGAGAAAATCCAACTCCCTCTTGACTACTGAGTTCATGTTTACTTTGTGCTGAAGGTCTATGGGAGACAAGTAGAGGGGCAGACAGCTATCATTTTAGTGTTTGACTCCTAAAGTTTCTAATCTGCCCTAGAAATGAGTCAAAGGTTGGGGTGTTCTGGTTGTGGAAAGCCTCCTACAGAGAGATAGGTGTTTATGATTGCGCTGAACCGTCCTTCTGCTATTACCCCTGTTCCTGGCGTTTTTTTTTTTTTTTCACTTATGCCTGGGGGAACAGCTGTGAATGCTGCAAGGAAGTCTCGCCCCTACGCCTCCTGAGCAGGAGCTACTGAGTCAGCATTTTCTCTGAGCTCAGAGAACAGCGGTGTCAGAGATAAAAAAGTTATGCGCTGCTCTTTTTGACTCAGAGGGTTGTTAACCCCGGAGTCAAGGCCAAATTATCAGCTGTGAATCGATGCACATTGTACTTGGCTGGTCAGGTTCACCCCTTGTCTCTCACGTGGACAGTTTATCTTAGAGTGTGAGGAACATATGATACGCTGGGCAGGACGAAATGACAGGACTGGCCCCCAGAGAACTGCGTGTGTTTCACTTGCCTCTTGAGGTGCGTTGATCACGCCGATGTCATAGCCAAACTGGAAGGAACCCAGCACAGCAGTGAAGACAGCGAAAGCCAAGGTTCCCGTGATCTGAGGATGAGAAACAAAGCTGGGAAGCGGCAGTGTCTACCACCTGACCTCCCGTCTCTGCTTCGTGGACTCGAGCAGGCTCCATTCTTTCCCTCCTACAACTGTTCACGGTAGCCCCCATGCTCAGCAGGGACTCTCTTATTCTTAGAGAATGTGGAAGCTGTCCACCATTTTATATTGCTAACGCTGAAAGAGAATGGAAAAAACACAGCAGGACAGCTTTTTCCAGGGTTCACATTTAACATTCCCCTTGTGTCTTACACACACATGCATTCACACACACACACACACACACACACACACACACACACACACACACACGACAGGGAAGGGGAGCAGGGAAGCAAGGAGAGGTAGAAAGCAAAGGCCAGGCAGATTTTGAACTCCCTGTTTTGGAGCTGAGGCTGCTGTGGAATGCTTGCTCTCCGAGACCTCACCTCCAGAGAGCTAGAATTACAGGCACACACTACCGTACCTTGCTTATGGGCTGCTGGGGCAAGCCCACAGTCATGGTAGGCAAATGCTTCACCAACTGAATTTAAGTCCCACATGAATATTTTTTCAAGATTCAAAGTCAGAACTGAGCATCAGAATGGCGCTGAAGGGAAAAAGAACTTCCCGCACAGAACAGTCCCGTGGTAGCGCCAGAAGAGATGGGACCTTTCCAGACATTTCCACTCCGCAGAAACCCCCAGCGCTCACCTCAGAGCCATCCTGTTTGTCACCATCTGCACCAGCATCCAGGCAAGACTACTTCTCAGGATTTACAGGCGGCTGAGCGTGGAGCTGTGAGTTAAGCTACACTGCTTTCTCACCAAGGTGGGGACGCTACCCCAAGATCTCAGAGCATTAACTCATAATTAACTACTCATTCAGTCAGCTGACAGGAATCGTGCGTGCAGACTCCCAGGGTACGCAGAGCAGCAGCCGCAGAAAGAGCTGTCACTCAACACGGATGACCAAATAGGTTCAGTCACATCATGATACACACCAGACACATCCAACACGCTAGGCAGCAACGCTAGGATAATGTGACCAAATATATTGGCTTTTGTTGTTTGTTTTTGTTTAGAGGCAGGGTCAGGATTCCTTTTTGTTTAAAGAAAATAATTAAAAGCAGCAGCGAGGGGCCAGGACACTGACACGCTCTCCATACTATCATGTAGCCTCTCAGATGGTGCATAAACACAGCTTCAGAACCCACAGCTGAGGATGCTTCCTGCGAGCCTAGTCGCTGTTTTCCGTGGATTATCTCACTTATTCCTAGCATTAATTTTCTATTGATGCTATAAAAAATTCCTACCAACTCAGTGGCTATTAAGCAATTCAACCTAGTTTATCCTGTAGGTTTTCGGATTAAAGTCTCCTCTGAGAGTCTGTGGACTATAATCAATATGCTAGCAGGCTGTGTCCCCTTAGACTGTGTTGATGGTAGAATCTAGTTCCTCACGGTGGTAGGACCCTGAGCTTTCCTGCTGGCTGCAATTGGAGGCTGCTCAGTCGCAGAGGCTAGTGTGCTCCCTGGCTAAGTGCCCTTCCTGCATCTTTACAGTCCACAGTGACAGATCATGTCCTTGTCACGTTGCATCTCTCAGATCCTGACAAGTCTTTCACTTTCAGGAATTCATGATGTCAGATTTGACACCTCTGTGTAAGCCAAGACTACCTCTCCACCCAAGGCCTTTAGCAGATACCATTCTCCGCAACTCATCTAGGTGGTGCGGCCGTATATTTAGGCTGGAGAAGTTCTGCTCACGACAGGGAAATTTCGTGAGAACTAAGCACAGAAAACCCCACCTGCCTTCACCACCTATGATACTGGCGAAGGGATCGGCGTGAGCAGCTAGACAGAGCTAAGACAAGTTTGAGGACCCAGAGGAATCTCACTCAGTCTACTTGGGTTCCTAAAGGGTTGGCCTATTCTCTCAAAGATGCTGCAGACTGTCCCCATTCCCACTTGGGGAAAGGTAGAAATGGAAGGAACTTGGACAGAAGACAAACGAAGGTAAATCCTCCAGTCCTTCCTGGAAACTACATGGGCTGGGATTGCTAAGCTGGGAGTGTTTGCAAGGTCAGTTTTTACTTGGGGTTTAATACATTTTGGTTAGAGAAATTAGTTCCCATGTCCAATTTATAATATATTGTAGATAAGCATGGAAGAATAGACTAGGCCAGCGAGATGGCTCAGTAGCTACAGGCAGGTGCTGCCTAGCTTGTAAGTTACATACCTGGGACTCCTGAAAGTTGTCTTCTGTGACCTCGTGTATGCTGAGACAGGAGCATGCACATGTGCGCGCGCGTGCACACACACACACACACACACACGCTTGCTTGCACACACACACACACACACACGCCAAAATGAAGAAAAGTTTTAAATGTAATATGGAAGTAGTTGAAGTTTCGCATAAAACAAAATGTGATATTCGTTTTGTGGCTAGGAAGTCATATGCCATTCGTTGACACAGAGAAGCAGGTGGGAAAGTCGGGAAACACGGAAAGGGGGTCTAGATGGCCTCTAGCATCCCTGTACCTCAGCTCCAATGGGTGATGGGTGGGCTTGTGAGACCGGCATGTCTTGGCTGAGTTCCGGATTATTGTAAAAATGGAGGTAAGAAATGTGGTCTCCTTAAGTAGAGGGCACAGAGCAAATCCCTTTCTACCTGGTTCACCATCATCTCACAGATTGCTCCTATGAAGCAACCTTCTATCAACTTTTCATATATCATGAATAATATCCAAAACAACATGGAAAGCAGGTAGGGCGATCTCCGCTCTTGACTGGGGAAGCCATGCTCAGGGTGGGGAGGGGCATGAGAGGCTTAAGCGCTCTTGACCCTCACTAGTCTGGGTAGATATCCTAGTATGAAGCATTTAAACTTCACTGCTAAACAAAAGAGCAGACTTTCTAGCGCCGGCTGATTGATTAGGAAGGGGGAAATGTCTGATTTGCCTCTATGCGCTGCCAAAAGCCAAGCCAAAGGGGACTTTGCACCCGGTTTTGGGAAAGGCCAGACACTTTTCATACCATAGAACTTTCAGACGGAAAAGAATTTAAAAAGAGACAGATGTGTGTCAGATACCTTCACTGATCAACAGAAGAAATGGAGGACTCACAGACCATGCCCCTTGTCTGAATTTTCTACACATTGCGGGATTGTTCAGTCTGACATTAACTTCCCTGAGCCATCATCCCCTCATTATCCCTTTAAATTCCAGCAGATTCCCAAGCCTGCAAAGCTCTGTTCTTCCTGTCAGTCAATCCTTACATCTTCTGTATTCTGATGTTAGGCAGTCCCTTGGTTCTTGAAGACAGTTCTGTCAGTTGGGTATTTAGAGCACCGGGGGATTTGCCAGAGCCTGAAGGTTGGCTCTGAGACGGTGCTTTTGACTATGTCTTCTAGACATTAGTTATAGGGATGCTGTCTTATCGCAGTTACTAAATCTGCATACCATCCCTGCAGTTACTAATTAATTACTAATTTGATGCCCATCTACGAATCATTTTTACAGTTCTCCCTATTATAGCTTTATCCTGAGCTATAGAACTTACAATATCCGGATTCCAGGGTCATTCTTTAAATGTGCAATGTGCAAATACATAACTGACATTTAAACGTTTGCCCTCTAAGCCTTTCTAATGTTACCTTTACTTACTCTCAAACTCGAAAGAGATTACTTCATTCATAGACTGCTAAAATAAAACTGAGATAGTCCCTATCAGAATCTAAGAGCCATCATTTGACCATAATAAAAAAAAATACGAGGCTCAGTTGATTTAATCTGAGTGTCAGCGGCACTCATAGTATGAGATCCACACCCAAGGCTGGGATATGGTGTCATTCATGAAGAAATGCTCAGGTCAGCATGTAAGGGTCCCACTCTTCTCAGGGGTACAGATTCATCAGCTTCTATTGCCATATAGGGAAGCTTGAAAACACACAAGAAGGGCATTCCCTTTTGAAGGTTTTATTTGGAAAAGGGTTCTATCTTCCGAGAGGTTGATATCCCAGAGACATGAAAACCCCATGGCCTTCCCTTTGCGTACCAGTGATTGTCTCACATTCTCCACATTAGTTTCTTGTTTAGACTGAACCATTTAAAAATAAACTGCGGATTATTTGTGTCTCCTCATTTCTGACGGCTTGACAGGGACAGGCACTTTCCTTAGGGACAAAGACATCTTCCTGTTCGATTGCGATATTGCCAGACCCAGGAACACAACACCGAGTGCACTACTAATGTCACTGAGGGTCTGCCCAGAGCCACCTTCTCCAGCGTGCACTCTATCACTATCTATCTATCTATCTATCCTTCTGCTTCCCACGGTCTGAGGTAACCAGCCACAATGCCGTTCGTTCTCAGCCTCTTAATTTAGAACAGATTTCCCTTTTCGCCTTCGTACATGGGCATTTTTGAACATTCCAGATCTCTTCAAGGTTAGAGTCCTGTGAACCTGCCCAAACTTTGGGGGCAGTAGCACACTTCTCCAGTGTCAGGCTATACAGTGGCACTTGGGCAAGTTATACAGATTAATTAAAAACCAGCTAATATCCTTAAAACTCTGATTACTGAATAAGAACCCGGATTTGCTTAGCAGCCAAATGGATTAGTAATTGACCAAGTTAAGAGGTAGCTTGCATCTGTGGTCACTGCACCCAGTGTCACCAACAGTTTTATATGCTCGCTGACTTGAACAGAGTCCCAATCTCCTCAGCACTAAATCAAACGAACCCAAGCTTGCTTTACCTTGTCTTCTGACATTGTGTGTGTGGGAAGTTGTCCTCTTAATTCCAGGTCCTGGACTGAATGTGGATGAGTTGCTGACCAGCCAGAGTCCTCGGCTCTGCCTGGTTATACATTGTAGGAGGAGGAGCAAGCCGAGGTGAGGCTAGAAAACTGAGGCTACTCCAATCAATGTGCCCTTTACCTCGGTGACCTGTTCCCCGGGAAAGAAATGAGGGTAGGTGGAACTTACAAACCAGAGGCAGGCACGTGCTAAGGGCTGGTAAGTGTGGCAAATGAGCAGCCCGTGGGGTGTTTCGGAGAAGTCGAGGTGTGCTGTGTTGTGGTGAAGATGACGGCAGGAGTGTGGAGGGTGTACTGTAGTTTGCTCTGCAGAGGACCGGGGCTGTGGGCTTGTGCTGTAGAGACGGGCTCTGTGGCTAAGGACTGGAGACATCAGTCACCCGAATGAGGTTTGGAGAGGTGTGGGCTGGACTTGGAATCACAGTATCTTACTGAGGGTCACCTTAAGCAAGGGAGTCACTGTGACTTTTCTGAGTCTTGGGTTTGTATTGTTGCTTGTTTTTTGACCTGATAAAGAGATAAAAGCACACACATTTTGTTTTTTGAGGGGCTTAAAAGAGATAACACGACATGTGTTTGTCACAAACTAGGTTCTCCGTAGATGGTGATGACACGCTTTCTGTTGTTGTTATTCATCAGTGTATTTCAATACATGATTGCAGAACCAGATGTGGCACACATCTGTAATGCTAGCACTGCCACCACAAGAGGGCTGTGAGCTGGAGGCTCACTGGATTACATGGGAGTTGCCGGCTAGCCTTGGCTACATATTGGGGGAAGGAATGCACTTAGTGGGATAGCCTTGGGTTCTCAATGAACTCTGATTATATGGCTTCAGTCTGTTTCTTTCTAGGAATCCCCCATGACATCTGATCCAAACATAATGGAGGAGGGAGCAAAGTTAGTTTAGCTCTCCTTGTGACTGGCAGCTATGGTTGCTGGGTTCCACAGAGGTCCTGTCGGAGCCAGTGCACAGCAGAGGGAATGGAAGAAGCAACAGCAAAGGGGCGGGAATGCCAAGTGTGGAGGAAGCTGCATTTAATTTGTCTGCCATTTCCCCCACCTCTCCTCACTTCTCATTTCCATCTCTCTCTCTCCTTGCCTTCCTCCCCAACCTCGTGTGTGTGTGTGTGTGTGTGTGTGTGTGTGTGTGTGTGTGTTATATGTGTGTCTACTCCTCTGGGCAGAGGCCAGGGATTGATGTTGAGTGTCTTCCTCTATTACCCTCTATCTTATTATTTGAGACCGGAGCTCAGAGAACCTGAACGCTCCGAGTCTGGGAGAGGCTGACTGGTCAGTGAGCCCCATGCATCCCCCCAGATCTCCTCCAGCACAGGGGTTACAGACACTGCCTGGATGTGTGCTGGAGACTTGAACCCAGGCCCTCTTCTTTTCACGAGTGTTCTTACCCACTGAGCCATCTCTTCAGGCACTCATGTCTGAGAGGTAAAAACACGTGAAGCACCTGGTTTTAGAAAGCACATAATTCAATTCAAAGCCCGAACGTCAGTGGATCTCAGCATGGTTGTGTTCTCTAACACACCACAGAAGGGAGGCAGCCTCCTCGTGGCAGGATACACACAGAAGTGGGGTCACAGCCTGCATTGTCTCTGAAGGAAGGCTCACGAGTGCTGATAGCAAGGCCTTAGTCTTGTTCCTTCCCCGGCCAGTTCCTGCATAGCACCTTCCAGGGCTTGGGTGGTCTAGTCTTCACAGAGTGCTCCCCTTTGGCACCAGGCCTTACGTCGCCCCTTGATGTGCTGGCCCTTATGCGTCCTATCCTCAGCACCATTGTTGTCCCGGAGAGGAGATGCCTTGGCAACCGTTGTCCACTGACTTGGCCCTGCACACACCACTCCCGTGCTGATATCAGGAAGGAGAGCTGTCCTGATAGGCTTTTCTACTTTTTTCTTTTGAAGTCTGCTTTGAAGTGAAGGCATTTGTCTTCCTTGTAGCAGCTGCTGGGAGTCCAGCCGGGTGCCCAGAGACACTGCTCCTCCCTCACTGAAGATGCCACTCATCTCGACTGCTCAGCTTCTAGGGGTGGGTTAAAACTACCTGCAGGTTGAGGATGGAAGAGGCATGCTGCACAGGTTGATTTTTGTGGGTTAGTTCAGACCGCAGACGGGCCTTGTGGTGAACGGCGAATATAGTTAGCTTCAGGAAGCACAGAGGAACTGCGGGCTTCTGTGGGATAAAGTCTGGAGAGCAAGCCATGACTTTTTGCACTTTGCCCCGGAATGACGTCTATGCACCGAGTGCCCATAATCATTCCGAGACTCCCTGCTGCCCTGCCAAGGAAGTCTTGCTAGGTTTCCATCTGTCTCTGTGCGCCCGTGCAGAGATTTCTGGCAGGCGCAACCAGTACTGGGTACTAGGGATTGTGTTCAGGTCTTTACGTTTGCAGAGAAAATGCTCTTACCCACTAGGCGGTCTCCCCAGACCTGGCTTTATACTTTTAAACTCTTTGGGTCACATTCTTGTTTCATCATTAATTAAGAGAGGAAATGCCAAGATTTGTAATTAATGACCTCACCTGCCTCTCCCCCCCTTCATTATCTTTCCTTTCAGTAGAGTGAGAGGAGTTAGTTTTTGTTTTCTCTGTAAACGAGAGGGGAGAAGCTGCATTCCTCTCTGATGGAGTCAGGTGCAGGTAATGGCAAAAGGCATGCGTGCAAACTTGACCAAACCAAGAGAGCAAGGGCTCATGGGAAGAGCTCAGTCCTGAAGGTCAGGTCCCCCTCCTGGTCTCCTTGGTTCTCTTGTCCAACTGCACTTTCCTGACGTGGAAGTCAGGATTGATTTTAAAAATTAAATCACATCAGAAAACCTGTTTGCAAGTTCCCAAGGTCCAACATCACAAACAGCAGAAAGACCCTGGAGGTCAAATATCCTGACAGCAGGAAGCTCTTCCTCTGGACATAGACCTGACTCTGACGCTGTCTTTCCTACTCATGACTCAGTCTTCTGACTTCTGATGTCTGTCACAGTACCAGGGAGACACATTGCAGTCATGGATGCCCAGGACCATGTAGACCCCGGGAGAGGGCTAGAGTTCACATGATTGTCAATGGGAAATCACCCGCGAGAAGAGGCATGGGAGTACTATGGTCCACTGTTTGTTTTAAGAGTACATCTGATGGCTGGGGAGTGCTTGCCTGGCGTGCACAGAGCTTTGGCTGGATATGATCCCCAGCACCTCAGAAACTCTGGCTGTGGTGGCATATGCTTGTATCTCTGTGCCTGGGAGCAGAAGCAGGAGGATCAGGAGTTCAAAGTCATCCTCAGCTACTTGGGGAGTCTCAGCTACTTAGGGTACATGAAGCCCTGTCTCAAAAACAACAACAACAACAACAACAACAACAACAAACCAAAAAGATAATCCCTGCTGTTGTGTGAAGGGT